TTCAGTACCACTCATTCTGCATCAGATTGTCTCAAATCACGCTGCATGGCACACTCTGAATGCACAACGTGATTCGAGGTCTCTGACAGCTGGCAAAAGTTCTGACCACTGAGCGGATCGAACGCCCAACCTTTCGATCTGGAGTCGAACGCGCTACCATTGCGCCAAGCAGTCATGGCTGAGACGCATGGACTCGCACTTCAGCACTTTTATGCCTTTCAGTACCACTCATTCTGCATCAGATTGTCTCAAATCACGCTGCATGGCACACTCTGAATGCACAACGTGATTCGCAGGTCTCTGACAGCTGCAAAAAGTTCTGACCACTGAGCGGATCGAACGCCCAACCTTTCGATCTGGAGTCGAACGCGCTACCATTGCGCCAAGCAGTCATGGCTGAGACGCATGGACTCGCACTTCAGCACTTTTGTGCCTTTCAGTACCACTCATTCTGCATCAGATTGTCTCAAATCACGCTGCATGGCACACTCTGAATGCACAACGTGATTCGTGGTCTCTGACAGCTGGCACTCTGACAGCTGGCAAAAGTTCTGACCACTGAGCGGATCGAACGCCCAACCTTTCGATCTGGAGTCGAACGCGACCGTGTCGGTAGACTCGGGCGCTACCATTGCGCCAAGCAGTCATGGCTGAGACGCATGGACTCGCACTTCAGCACTTTTGTGCCTTTCAGTACCACTCATTCTGCATCAGATTGTCTCAAATCACGCTGCATGGCACACTCTGAATGCACAACGTGATTCGAGGTCTCTGACAGCTGGCACTCTGACAGCTGGCAAAAGTTCTGACCACACTGAGCGGATCGAACGCCCAACCTTTCGATCTGGAGTCGAACGCGCTACCATTGCGCCAAGCAGTCATGGCTGAGACGCATGGATTCGCACTTCAGCACTTTGTGCTTTCGCAGTACGCACTTCATTCTGCATCAGATTGTCTCAAATCACGCTGCATGGCACACTCTGAATGCACAACGTGATTCGAGGTCTCTGACAGCTGGCAAAAGTTCTGACCACTGAGCGGATCGAACGCCCAACCTTTCGATCTGGAGTCGAACGCGCTACCCATTGCGCCAAGCAGTCATGGCTGAGACGCATGGACTCGCACTTCAGCACTTTTGTGCCTTTCAGTACCACTCATTCTGCATCAGATTGTCTCAAATCACGCTGCATGGCACACTCTGAATGCACAACGTGATTCGAGGTCTCTGACAGCTGGCACTCTGACAGCTGGCAAAAGTTCTGACCACTGAGCGGATCGAACGCCCAACCTTTCGATCTGGAGTCGAACGCGCTACCATTGCGCCAAGCAGTCATGGCTGAGACGCATGGACTCGCACTTCAGCACTTTTATGCCTTTCAGTACCACTCATTCTGCATCAGATTGTCTCAAATCACGCTGCATGGCACACTCTGAATGCACAACGTGATTCGAGGTCTCTGACAGCTGGCAAAAGTTCTGACCACTGAGCGGATCGAACGCCCAACCTTTCGATCTGGAGTCGAACGCGCTACCATTGCGCCAAGCAGTCATGGCTGAGACGCATGGACTCGCACTTCAGCACTTTTATGCCTTTCAGTACCACTCATTCTGCATCAGATTGTCTCAAATCACGCTGCATGGCACACTCTGAATGCACAACGTGATTCGAGGTCTCTGACAGCTGGCAAAAGTTCTGACCACTGAGCGGATCGAACGCCCAACCTTTCGATCTGGAGTCGAACGCGCTACCATTGCGCCAAGCAGTCATGTCTGAGACGCATGGACTCGCACTTCAGCACTTTTGTGCCTTTCAGTACCACTCATTCTGCATCAGATTGTCTCAAATCACGCTGCATGGCACACTCTGAATGCACAACGTGATTCGAGGTCTCTGACAGCTGGCAAAAGTTCTGACCACTGAGCGGATCGAACGCCCAACCTTTCGATCTGGAGTCGAACGCGCTACCATTGCGCCAAGCAGTCATGGCTGAGACGCATGGACTCGCACTTCAGCACTTTTGTGCCTTTCAGTACCACTCATTCTGCATCAGATTGTCTCAAATCACGCTGCATGGCACACTCTGAATGCACAACGTGATTCGAGGTCTCTGACAGCTGGCAAAAGTTCTGACCACTGAGCGGATCGAACGCCCAACCTTTCGATCTGGAGTCGAACGCGCTACCATTGCGCCAAGCAGTCATGGCTGAGACGCATGGACTCGCACTTCAGCACTTTTATGCCTTTCAGTACCACTCATTCTGCATCAGATTGTCTCAAATCACGCTGCATGGCACACTCTGAATGCACAACGTGATTCGAGGTCTCTGACAGCTGGCAAAAGTTCTGACCACTGAGCGGATCGAACGCCCAACCTTTCGATCTGGAGTCGAACGCGCTACCATTGCGCCAAGCAGTCATGGCTGAGACGCATGGACTCGCACTTCAGCACTTTTGTGCCTTTCAGTACCACTCATTCTGCATCAGATTGTCTCAAATCACGCTGCATGGCACACCGAATGCACACGGATTCGAGTCTCTACAGCTGGCAAAAGTTCTGACCACTGAGCGGATCGAACGCCCAACCTTTCGATCTGGAGTCGAACGCGCTACCATTGCGCCAAGCAGTCATGGCTGAGACGCATGGACTCGCACTTCAGCACTTTTATGCCTTTCAGTACCACTCATTCTGCATCAGATTGTCTCAAATCACGCTGCATGGCACACTCTGAATGCACAACGTGATTCGAGGTCTCTGACAGCTGGCAAAAGTTCTGACCACTGAGCGGATCGAACGCCCAACCTTTCGATCTGGAGTCGAACGCGCTACCATTGCGCCAAGCAGTCATGGCTGAGACGCATGGACTCGCACTTCAGCACTTTTGTGCCTTTCAGTACCACTCATTCTGCATCAGATTGTCTCAAATCACGCTGCATGGCACACTCTGAATGCACAACGTGATTCGAGGTCTCTGACAGCTGGCAAAAGTTCTGACCAACTGAGCGGATCGAACGCCCAACCTTTCGATCTGGAGTCGAACGCGCTACCATTGCGCCAAGCAGTCATGGCTGAGACGCATGGACTCGCACTTCAGCACTTTTATGCCTTTCAGTACCACTCATTCTGCATCAGATTGTCTCAAATCACGCTGCATGGCACACTCTGAATGCACAACGTGATTCGAGGTCTCTGACAGCTGGCAAAAGTTCTGACCACTGAGCGGATCGAACGCCCAACCTTTCGATCTGGAGTCGAACGCGCTACCATTGCGCCAAGCAGTCATGGCTGAGACGCATGGACTCGCACTTCAGCACTTTTATGCCTTTCAGTACCACTCATTCTGCATCAGATTGTCTCAAATCACGCTGCATGGCACACTCTGAATGCACAACGTGATTCGAGGTCTCCTCTTGACAGCTGGAAAAGTTCTGGACCAACTGAGGCGGGATCGAACGCGCCAATCCTTTCGAACTCTGGAGTCGAACGCGCTACCATTGCGCCAAGCAGTCATGGCTGAGACGCATGGACTCGCACTTCAGCACTTTTATGCCTTTCAGTACCACTCATTCTGCATCAGATTGTCTCAAATCACGCTGCATGGCACACTCTGAATGCACAACGTGATTCGAGGTCTCTGACAGCTGGCAAAACTGAAACGGCCCCCAGGCCCTGCAAAAGTTCTGACCACTGAGCGGATCGAACGCCCAACCTTTCGATCTGGAGTCGAACGCGCTACCATTGCGCCAAGCAGTCATGGCTGAGACGCATGGACTCGCACTTCAGCACTTTTGTGCCTTTCAGTACCACTCATTCTGCATCAGATTGTCTCAAATCACGCTGCATGGCACACTCTGAATGCACAACGTGATTCGAGGTCTCTGACAGCTGGCAAAAGTTCTGACCACTGAGCGGATCGAACGCCCAACCTTTCGATCTGGAGTCGAACGCGCTACCATTGCGCCAAGCAGTCATGGCTGAGACGCATGGACTCGCACTTCAGCACTTTTGTGCCTTTCAGTACCACTCATTCTGCATCAGATTGTCTCAAATCACGCTGCATGGCACACTCTGAATGCACAACGTGATTCGAGGTCTCTGACAGCTGGCAAAAGTTCTGACCGATAACCTATATTATACGTTTACCTTATTCTTCTTCACGAGGAGACTTTCTATTTTGCTCTCATGCACACTCCGGTAACCTTTTCATTATACAACTACTCTGGTATTCAAGTAGGACGTGTTCCAGGTCATGAAATACTACTTGCCGCAGAAACCTCTCATGCGGGCCTGTCATTTACGGCCTGCACTTCCTTTTTTTTGATAGCAATTCTTTATGAAAAATTGTAAACGAGTTCGAGTTACAATGTATAGTTAAATGTGTTACAACGATACATGTCTCTAGAGTTTGAAGTAGTCTTTTGTGGGCGATGATGGAGCTGACGATGATGGAGATTTCGTTGATTTCGGGGATTTCACCCCAGGAGACTTCCCTTTGCTTTTTTTTTCGATTTCTTCTTTTTGAAAGTTGTGGTGAGGGATTTCGATAGAGGTTTCGGAGCTTTGTTAGCAACGCCAACTGACAAGCCATCAGTGTCGACATTCCCATTGAAAACATTACCAGATGCAGTGAATTAGTCTTCGCAGCTGTAAATATATGTTGTTATACGTGTCCATTCCTAAAAACTGTTGTGTAACAAATAATGTAGGTTCACGGAACTCCAGCGTAGGCCCATATAGTTTTTCCCTTATCTTTGATTCCAGGTGTGAATGCTTGCTTTTTTTTGAAATGAAATTTTGCGGAGATTCATTGTCCCAGCGTCCCGCGACAGCGTGCTCCATTGGCGCAGTTGGTTAGCGCGTGTGGTACTTATAAGATTGAGAAATGCCCGAGGTCGGGAGTTCGATCCTCCCATGGAGCAAAAGTTTTGCATATCGTAAAGTAAGGGGCAAAAACGTATTCTGGCTGTTATTTTTCTATTTTGTGTACCCAATGCAGGCGGTGCGACGTGCAGCAAATTTGAAAAAGTTTTGGCCCGGAGGTTCACCTTACAACTACGTGATGACACTTTGTCCCCAAGTTCGGCTAAGGCCTGCGTTCGGGTGGTATTGTAATCGAAATTCGCCGTGGGCTTCTCGCGCTCAAGAGGGTGATCCTGTCAAACGTAGAGCTAATTGGCCATTTATTGAACTTGCTCAGTATTCAGTCAACAAGCGAGAGGCACAAAGATAGTCTTTCAGTCAGGAGACCATAACCAACTTTAACTTCACAAAAGTTATGAAGTTATGGTCTCCCTTCTCGGTCTTGGAGGCAGTAACCTGATATGAGAAATTCCTTCTTTGCGCAAGGTGGTCCGATACGCAAATACACAAGATGTATCACTCCGGCAATTAGTAAGCCAGTGGGAAGGCGGCCAACAGTCTATCGCGACACCACTTGTTGGTATCAGCTCTTTTCCCTTATCGCCTCACTCTCACCATTTGAAGAGAAGAAGATTAATAGCGGGACATCGCACCACCGAGCAACAGTTAAAAATGAACATTGGGCGTAGCAGCAGTCAATGGGCGGAGCAACAGCTCCTTTACAAATGGGCGGTGCTTTCCTCTCGTATTTTTTTACCTGCGGAATTAGTACATCCTGCATCCTTGTAGGAGGGGCTACCATGTCTAAAGCGTTGGGAAATGAAATGAAAGCGGTCTTCAAGGACAACTCCCCGCGATCATTTGATACGTCGAGTGCAATGCATTTGGCAGTGTGGTCAGGAATATCGAAGGGGGTACCATTTTAGTCACTCTCAAGTGCAAGGTAGAAACGTCAGAATGGCGCGACTTGCAACCATACAGCCAATACAGCCTAAACGAGGGGAACTTGCGCCGTTAATTACCGCGCCTGTTGCTTGCAGCGACGTAGAAGGATATCATGTGAGTCGCGAGAACTGCTAACCCGTTGACATGTCTGATTGAGCTCTCGCTCACCAATAGCTCTTTTACGCCGTCACTCACACAACAGGTCGTCGGTGCGTTGTACGGTAATTTTCTAATTTCGTACCCGGTATTTTCGCAATCCCCTTTTTTGTTACGAGCTTTGTTTCAGTGAAATTTTCCCCCGCCCTAGCGCTGAAGAAACAAGGAATCAATTTGTGAGCCAGGGATTGCAAACATGATTTTGATTAATTGGCAGGATGTTGATTTTTCCGCCTGAAATTAGAAACAAAGAAAAACAAATATTGGGGAAAGGAATACACTCAACGTCACAGATGACGGAAAAGACCGGAAAATCGTACAGCGAGACTATTAGGAAGTCTTTGGTTCCAGTTTTTCCGATAGTTTTCCTTATTTTTCTAGAGAGTCACGCGGCTGCGTGGAAATAAACAGACGAACGAGAAAGCACTACCATACAGTGGTTTTCATGAAGTATGAATAGCAGAGGGTGATACCTCTGCTATTCATACATTGAGCTGAGGTCGAGTATCACGGTAGAGCTCTGGCGGCCTTGTCACCCACTTCCTAGCGGTCAAAGTGACATACTACCTTCGGCGATTGCAGATCGGGCCACCTTTCGCAAAGAAGAGATTCTACACATCAGATTATAGTGGATTGTATCTTTCAGTTCAGAAGAACCATAGTTTCATGACTATCATAAAAGTTCCGAGCCCTAAGTGGCTCTCCTAACCCTTCTGAAGAGGCAGCAGTACGCAAAAATACGTCATGTTTTATACTTTCCAGAGTAACTGAAAACTTCCTCTTTTTTCAAAAAATATGAACTCACACAAGCTCATCCTCAGTCATTTCACGCTGCATCTGAGAGCACTCTGAATGCACAACGTGATTCGAGGTCTCTGACAGCTGGCAAAAGTTCTGACCACTGAGCGGATCGAACGCCCAACCTTTCGATCTGGAGTCGAACGCGCTACCATTGCGCCAAGCAGTCATGTGGAGTCCATGACTCGCACTTCAGCACTTTTGTGCCTTTCAGTACCACTCATTCTGCATCAGATTGTCTCAAATCACGCTGCATGGCACACTCTGAATGCACAACGTGATTCGATAGAGTCTCTGCCAGCCTGGCAAAAGTTCTGACCACTGAGCGATCGAACGCCCAACCTTATCTGGAGTCGAACGCGCTACCATTGCGCCAAGCAGTCTTCAGCACTTTTATGCCTCTCAAACCACCTCATTCTGCATCAGAATGCCTCAAATCACGCTGCATGGCACACTCTGAATGCACAACGTGATTCGAGGTCTCTGACAGCTGGCAAAAGTTCTGACCACTGAGCGGATCGAACGCCCAACCTTTCGATCTGGAGTCGAACGCGCTACCATTGCGCCAAGCAGTCATGTGCTGAGACGCATGTACTCGCACTTCAGCACTTTTGTGCCTTTCAGTACCACTCATTCTGCATCAGATTGTCTCAATAATCACGCCTGTCATGGCACACACATTCTGAATGCACAACGTGATTCGAGGTCTCTGACAGCTGGCAAAAGTTCTGACCACTGAGCGGATCGAACGCCCAACCTTTCGATCTGGAGTCGAACGCGCTACCATTGCGCCAAGCAGTCATGGCTGAGACGCATGGACTCGCACTTCAGCACTTTTGTGCCTTTCAGTACCACTCATTCTGCATCAGATTGTCTCAAATCACGCTGCATGGCGCACTCTGAATGCACAACGTGATTCGAGGTCTCTGACAGCTGGCAAAAGTTCTGACCACTGAGCGGATCGAACGCCCAACCTTTCGATCTGGAGTCGAACGCGCTACCATTGCGCCAAGCAGTCATGGCTGAGACGCATGGACTCGCACTTCAGCACTTTTATGCCTTTCAATACCACTCATTCTGCATCAGATTGTCTCAATCCGCTGCATTTGGCGCACTGCTGAATGCATCAAATCGTGATTCGAGGTCTCTGAGACAGCTGGCAAAAGTTCTGACCACTGAGCGATCGAACGCCCAACCTTATCTGGAGTCGAACGCGCTACCATTGCGCCAAGCAGTCTTCAGCACTTTTATGCCTCTCAAGTACGCACTCATTCTGGCATCGAAATGCCTCGAAATCAACGCTGCAAATGGCAGCACTCGTGGAATCACATCGTGATCGAGGTCTGCTGGACAAGCTGGCAAAAGTTCTGACCACTGAGCGGATCGAACGCCCAACCTTTCGATCTGGAGTCGAACGCGCTACCATTGCGCCAAGCAGTCATGGCTGAGACGCATGGACTCGCACTTCAGCACTTTTGTGCCTTTCAGTACCACTCATTCTGCATCAGATTGTCTCAAATCACGCTGCATGGCGCACTCTGAATGCACAACGTGATTCGAGGTCTCTGACAGCTGGCAAAAGTTCTGACCACTGAGCGGATCGAACGCCCAACCTTTCGATCTGGAGTCGAACGCGCTACCATTGCGCCAAGCAGTCTTCAGCACTTTTATGCCTCAATAACGGCTACTTCATTCTGCATCTGAATGCCTGAAATCACGCTGCATGGCACACTCTGAATGCACAACGTGATTCGAGGTCTCTGACAGCTGGCAAAAGTTCTGACCACTGAGCGGATCGAACGCCAACCTTTCGATCTGGAGTCGAACGCGCTACCATTGCGCAAGCAGCATGGCGAGACGCATGGACTCGCACTTCAGCACTTTTGTGCCTTTCAGTACCACTCATTCTGCATCAGATTGTCTCAAATCACGCTGCATGGCACACTCTGAATGCACAACCGTTGCCTTCGAGGTCTTCTGACCGCTGCAAAAAGTTATGACCACTCGGCGTAGAGCGGATCTCGAACGCCCAACCTTTCGATCTGGAGTCGAACGCGCTACCATTGCGCCAAGCAGTCATGGCTGAGACGCATGGACTCGCACTTCAGCACTTTTGTGCCTTTCAGTACCACTCATTCTGCATCAGATTGTCTCAAATCACGCTGCATGGCACACTCTGAATGCACAACGTGATTCGAGGTCTCTGACAGCTGGCAAAAGTTCTGACCACTGAGCGGATCGAACGCCCAACCTTAACCCCCCCGCCCCCCCTCTGGAGTCGAACGCGCTACCATTGCGCCAACAGTCTTCAGCACTTTTATGCCTTTCAATACCACTCATTGTGCATCAGAATGCCTCAAATCACGCTGCATGGCGCACTCTGAATGCACAACGTGATTCGAGTCATCGTGACAGCTGCAAAAGTGTCTGACCGCACTGAGGGCGGATCAAAAAACGCCCCAGCCTTCGATGCTGGAGTCGGAACGCGCTACTCATTGGCGGCCCAGCAGTCATGGCTGAGACCATGGGACTCGCACTTCAGCAGCATTTGTGCCCTTTCAGTACCACTCATTCTGCATCAGATTGTCTCAAATCACGCTGCATGGCACACTCTGAATGCACAACGTGATTCGAGGTCTCTGACAGCTGGCAAAAGTTCTGACCACTGAGCGATTTCGACGCCGCAACCTTATCCTGGAGTGCGAACTGGCAGAACCAATTGCGCCAAGGCAGTCTTCAGCACTTTTATGCCTTTCAATACCACTCATTCTGCATCAGAATGTCTCAAATCACGCTGCATGGCACACTCTGAAATGCACAACGTGATTCGAGGTCTCTGACAGCTGGCAAAAGTTCTGACCACTGAGCGGATCGAACGCCCAACCTTTCGATCTGGAGTCGAACGCGCTACCATTGCGCCAAGCAGTCATGGCTGAGACGCATGGACTCGCACTTCAGCACTTTTATGCCTTTCAGTACCACTCATTCTGCATCAGATTGTCTCAAATCACGCTGCATGGCACACTCTGAATGCACAACGTGATTCGAGGTCTCTGACAGCTGGCAAAAGTTCTGACCACTGAGCGGATCGAACGCCCAACCTTTCGATCTGGAGTCGAACGCGCTACCATTGCGCCAAGCAGTCATGGCTGAGACGCATGACTCGCACATATCAGCCACCTTTGGTGCGCTTCTCAGTACCAACTCATTCGCATCAGAATTGTCTCAAAATCACGCCTGGCATGCACATCTGAATTGCACAACGTGATTCGTGGTCTCTGACAGCTGGCAAAAGTTCTGACCACTGAGCGGATCGAACGCCCAACCTTTCGATCTGGAGTCGAACGCGCTACCATTGCGCCAAGCAGTCATGGCTGAGACGCATGTACTCGCACTTCAGCACTTTTATGTGCC